TTGTGTGTGTGTGTGTGTGTGTGTGTGTGTGCATGTGGGCATTGTGTGTGTGTGTGTGTGTGTGTGTGTGTGTGTGTGTGCGCACAGCCATTGTGTGCACCTGCCCTTGACTTCAGTCTCATCCCTGCGGGATGTGAGTTCATGTAAACGACATAGGGGTTATACCGCTCACCCTCAGAAAGAGAAAGCAAATGAACTCCAGGAGGGACTGCAAAACAGCGGCTTCTGAAGCACTGAGATTCGTGGTCCGTGCATGTTTTTTACGAGCACAGTAGAAGTGGTGACCTGGTTTATGGTGAGGTGTCATCACTGCTGTTCATGTGAGTAATAGCTGATTCTCTGAAGACATTCCGTATTATAAAGCAAAAACAGTAGTGCACATTAGTGACAAGAACACACTGGTGACGTTTTCCTAAGCATTTCTGTCTTCATACCTGTCATGCCGTGGTGGACTTTGCTTGGACAGGATCTAACAGCCCAGATGTAGAGTACTCTCACTATATGGTCATGCGCACCATCTAGATGAAAACAATCATTTCAATTCATGAGATTATTGTAAAATGATTTGATTAATTTTTTGATTGTTAATTTTTGGACAATTAAATGCCAGTCTTGATAAGTTAATAAATGTGTGATTTTTAAAATAACAATAGTAATAATTTGTGTCCTAAGAGTGTCATTTTTATGTTTTGTTCTGAAACTTTTAAATCTACTGGCAAGGATCATTATATTGTAGCCCATGGAAAAAATGAGGAGATGAGAGCTGAGGAAACATCACATGTCCGTGTTACTAGGCACACAGGTTACTGGTAACATCCATGACATCAAGAATATGTATTTTAGTTTTGTATCCAAAAAAAAGTGAGCTATTGTATTTCTCCTGTACAGTCTATCTGAAAGTAATATTTAGCTGGAAAATGACACTAAGAAGCCGTGAAACATCAGAAGTTGTTTATTTTCTATTTGCTTGATACATTCTGTGCTATGAGGCACACAAATGGGAAATATAAAAAACCATACCGCCCCCTTGTGGAAGTGCTGCTGTGCTGCACTCGTCTTTTTAATACTAACAATGTAATAAAAATGCGTAAAGAAAGGACCATAGGCCACGTGGTTTAGCAGTGATCAGTCTATTGTGTGATGGTGATGGGTGCTGGTGATGGATGTGATGAGTTTTGCCTCCTGTAAGTCCCGCTGGTGCCTGGGGAGTAATCGGACCCCCCGGTGCTTCGTCCCATGGCTGCGGGAGGAGGGGTTCCCGGGACGCAGCAGTCCAGGTTGGTGAAGGTGGCGGAGTAGAGTCCCGAGATGAGCACGGTGGACGGGCTGCCGTTTTCCTGTGTGGGGAGGTCACTCACAGCCCCAGGCTCGCCTGCTTCGGAGCCTGCAAAGTGCATGCAGCTGCTCACATGGGGTGGCGAGGTGGCCATGACCAGCAGCGAGTCGGACGCCAGGCTGTCGTCCTTTAGCTCCTCCCAAAGGTGACCTGCAAGGGAAAATCCAAAAGTTATGGTTTTGTTAAACCTAACCCTTAATGCTTATCTCTTAACGTTAACCCCACACACCATGCAGCTGGAGGTCGGTGAGGCTGGGGTTCAGCGCATCGACGTCATTGCTCGGCTCGCCCTCCAGCAGCAGTTCCTGCATGCTTTGGGGGGTTCCATTATTCGCCTGTAGGGCGGCGCTGTAGGGAAGGTGAGTTTCCAGCATACAAGGTCGGCTTGGGGGGTAGTATGGGAAGGCACTGTGCTCAGGGGGATGATGATGCAGATGCTGGTCATCAGGCGGCCATGGGGACCGGCTTTGTGGGGCTTGAGGAAAGGTGGAGCCCTGTTGGGAATGTCGTAAGGCGTGGCCTGACAGCCTCTGCTGTAGGGTGGGGAAGCAGGGTGACACTCCTCTTGGGAGCAGAGTCTGACCATAACTGTGCGCTTCAGTGAGTTTCCACTTCTGCGGTCGCTCCCCAAGGAGGCGCTCTAGCTCCTCTGGGAACAGACACAGAGAGGCAGTCAAATCATTGAGGAGAACATTGCTAAATGTTACCATAATAATGATATCGCATAAATACTGAAACAACAAACTGACAACAATGAAGAATGTACCACTAAACACTTCTACTGAATTTGCTGATTCTGCAGAATCAGCAGCCCTGTCGATGACCCATCACATCGTTTCCTGTAAGTCAATGCTCTGCTCTCTGTTCCCTGCCTATGTCTCATATGCTGCACTACCACTCTGTGTTACAGACCTTGTGCTCTGTCATACTTTAGTTCGATACTCTGGCTCGGTATTCTTACTCGGTTCTCTGGCTTGATTTTCTGCCTCGATACTCTGCTTCGGAACTGCAGCTTGATACTCTGGCTTGATGGTCTACTTTGATGCTCTGGCTTTATATTCTGGCTTGATACACTGGTTCCCAACTCCAGCTTCATACTATGTTTTGATACTCTGGCTTGATGCTCTGGCTTGATATTCCAGTTCGATGCTGTGGCTTGATGTTTCGGGTTAATATTCTGACTTGATACTTTGGCTCGAAACTCCAGCTTGATACTCTGGTTTGGTACACTGTCTCGATGCTCTGGCTTTGTATTCTGGCTTGATACTCTAGCTCAATACTCAAGCTTGATACTCTGGCTTGATACTCCAGCTTAATCCTCTGGCTTGATGCTCAGGCTTTGTATTCTGGCTTGAGCCTCTGGCTCGATACTCTGCTGTGTCCAAAGCTACACTAACATCTCTTGTATGACACACTGCTGACATTAGAATACTTTCTATGCTAACACTGTGTTGGCTGGTCCCCCTCCCCCATGAGTTCCTGAGGTCCCCCTCACGCACCGGGCCGCGCCATGCTCCTGCGCACGGTGTGTGGGTCTTTGCGCCTCCACTTGTGCAGCTCCTCCTGCATCTTCTCCACCTTGGTCGGGTTCAAGGCCCACAGGCAGCCCTTGCGGGAGGTGCCGCCGCTCTTGCTCTCCACCTTCTCGAAGCACTTGTTGAGGGACAGATTGTGACGGACTGAGTTCTTCCAGCCATCAGGGGCCGTCTGAGGGAGGGAGGGAAGGAAGGGAAGAAGGAAGGAAGGTTGGAAGGAAGGAAGAGTTGGAAGAGAAAAGTGCCGGAGAAGGTCTGTGCCTTAGAGCTTCAGAAAAAATGCCCAGGTGTTTTAACACTGAAAAATTTGCAGACCATGAGATACAGGGATTGGGTGGAAGGACCCACTGAACAAACAGAAACCAAACACACAGGCACACACATTTCATGCCACGTGGCTGCCCCCCCCCACCCCCACTCAGGACTTGAGGTTCCCTCACTTTCCCAGAGCTGATTTCTCAGCAGGTGGGCTGCACTCCTCCCCTAAGACGTTTCACAAAGCAGGTAACCTTACAGCATGGCTTCCCTGGGCTTGTTCTCGGAGGCCTCACTCCCGTCCCGTAACTCACACTGAAACCTCCTCTGACCTTTGCTCCACCAGCCTCTGTGACAATACTGAACTTCACTAAAAGCACCTCAGGCGTCTGTGTCAACTTCCTGACAGCGTCTGACAGCCCAGCTAAATTACTTTCATAGCACACCTTCTCTCCTGGCCCAAATGCTTCGCATTTTATCTCCCCAGACAGTCGCCACACTTTAAACACAGCAGGGCTTTTAAAACATCTGCATGTGCGACATGCTGATCAGTGGCCTACAAAGAGGCAGTAATGAGACCTTTAAAGACTCTGGAAGCTCTTACCAGATAATATCTACGAAAGATTTTCACATGAAAGCTGAATGATATAGAGAATCATGTTCTCTGTCAGGGACCCTGAGTGTTGCTACAAGCCCACGTCCACCTGCCTGTGGATGCAGAGCTGAGCCGGACAGCAGCTCCATGCACGGCCAGCGACGGCACGGAGCCTTGATGGGCACGGGCTGACAGGGCATTCGCTTTAGCGGGGTTCAGCACCAATGTACCCAGGGAGGGGCCTTCGCCAGGAAACCACTGACATTCAAATACACGGCCCCTCCGCAAGACACACCAGAATCACCGCGTGTCTTCTCACTACGCCAGTGTTTGCCAATCCGGTAGGTAGAGACCCACAGACAGTCCATGTTTTTGCTCCCTCCCAGCTCCCGGTAGTGGGGCTGGCAGTACAGGCATTGAGGGAGGTGTCTGCTGAGGTGATAGACAGACAGACGGATGGGCGGATAAACAAATAAACAGACAGTGTACACGCAGACGCTTCAGTCCGGCACTAGGGGGAGCTTTGACCCAGGGTCCCTGTCAAAAAAGAAGCAGATGGGTTGGACAGATGGATGCAATGAATGGATGGATGGGATAAATTAATGGGAGGAATGAATGGATTGAACGGATGAACATGTGGGATGAATGAATGGACAGATGAATGGTTGAACAGATGAACAAATGGACGGGATGAACAGAGTGATGGGATGAATGGGTGGAGGGGATGAAATTATGAACTGATGGACAGGATGAACAGACAAGGAATGAACAGATGAAAGAAATGAATGGATGGATGGAATGAACAGATAAATAGTTGGACAGATTGAAAGGATGGAAGGCTTGAACAAATGAATGGATGGACGAAGTGAACAGATGGATGAATGGACAGGATGAATGGATGGACGGGATGAACGGATGGACGAGATGGACAGGATGAACGGATGGACAGGATAGGCAGATGAATGGATGGATGGGCGGTTCTGAGACAGACCGCTTACACATACACCCCCCCACCCCATTCCTGGACACACCTCCCCTTTCCCAAACATGCCCCCCCTTCCCACACATGACCCCCACCCCCCATTTACTACACGTCAATCATTTCAGCTTTACCTTGAAATAGGGGAAGTTCTCTGTCATGAAGCTGTAGATCTCGCTCACTGGGAGGCTCCCAGTCTTGCTGTTCCTCAGTGCCATGAAGATGAGGATGCTGCAGGGGAAGCAAAGGACAAGCACACTAGCACCCCCTATAGGTAGGGCTGATTTTGGTTTGTCATGGGAAATGTCTGACTACTGTGCATAAGGGGGTAAGGTAAGCAGTGAGTTGCTTCTCCACTGTTTTACTTGCTTGCAAGGAAGGGGGTGGGGTGTTTGGAAGGGGGTGGGGGGATTCCCAGCTCTAAATCACACCAACACGGGAGGAACTCTTTTACGCTTCATGACATGCCCCACAGATGGCGCTGTCCTTCCAACACCTTCACATTGCTCAGCCCAACTTCTCCTGCATAAGCAGCTTTGTGACAGGAACTGCCCTTTCGTGTTCATACTACAGGCATCATGTCAGTGACAGTATATGGGTGTTTTATAGCAGGAGGGGAGGGGCGTCTGCAGGGTCTGGGATAGACAGAGTGTACCTGTAGGAGTAGATGGGTTTGGGGTAGAGAGTGTGCAGCATGGTATTGTGGGATATGGCAGGGGCAACGCGCTGGAAGTTATACTGGGAGCCTCTCAACGGTGCTGCCTGGGAGTAGAAATCCACCGGGACCTGGGGAGAGCAAGTCACACACACACACACACACACACACACACACACACAGAGAGAGAGGGGCACACAGGTGTTCATGTACTGGCAAAGATTTATGACACTCACATTTTTTAAAAGCCATTCCTGAATGACGGGCAGCAGGCAGAGGGCTGGATGGCGTATCTCCTGGATGCTGGGATCCAGGCAGGTAAGGGCAGCACCATGGTGTGCCTGCCTTGCTTATTGTTTTAACCCAGCTTAGCTCCCCACTTTAGGGGCTCCTTTGGGGCAGCCTGTTCCCCCTCCCCCACCTGGAGGAAACCAAGCAGCTGAACATCCATGACCAGAGCCTGGGACAGCGTGGGGGCCGTGAGAGACCTGGGCAGGGAGCTTCCTGGCAGAGCTGCGTGCTGGCTGCCGTGCCTGCGGGTGCCTGTCCCGCGGGGGTGTAAACATTCTGGCAGCACACCGTGCACGTGTGTGTTTTCACAAGGATGTGTACTGTGCCTTTTTTCTTCACGTAAATGCACGTCTTAAATGTTCTGACATAGATTAGGTGCAGCTGATCACGCTCTAAAAATTTTGAACAATGGAAGCCCCAGCACAGAAATAACACGACCTGGGACCTGACAGTACCTTCTTTATGCAATTCCTTTTTTAAGAGAACCCCAGCTACTTGACCCATTAGACAGATGGCTTTTACTGCAACAGCAGCCCCTCTGCAGTGGGACAAACCTTAGACTTCTTGGTGGAGGGTCACCATGTCCCACTGACTGGTTTAACCCATTAGTCACTGATAGCTAGTCACCATTATTTCTGTTGGGTTACAGCAGACCATGGTATCATCTGCTGTTGTCAGCTGTGATCTCTGTTGTATATGGCACATACACTGCATTACACTGCATTGTGCCAGTTAGGGCCTGTCGGGACATAGCACTGACATATCGACATTTGGACCGCGCCATTGGCCATGTTTTGTGGGAGTTGCTGCATAGGTAAACAATTGCAGTGTACTTGTTAGAACCAGTCAATATAATCATGCCCACTGGTTGTAAAGTCATGTTTTCCCCAACTACCAACAAGTGGCACCGTAAACAGTGGTCCACCAGACGAGTTCGGGGCCCTCGTGTCAGAGGCCGGTGAGGGTGTCCATCAGTCTTACCTGTTCCAGGGGGGGTAGGGAGACAGTGTTTATCTGGGAGGGGTAGCATGAAGACTCCTCTGGAGCATCCATAAATTCGCCTTCCTCTCCCTGATGCGTACAGAGAGAATATTGTGAGGATCGTCCAAGAAGGTCCCACACTTTGCCTTTACTGCCCCCCCCCAAACTCCACTGGCCCGGCCCTCAGTTCCAGCTGGTCCTACTCCCATTTAGGCCTTTGCCCCCCCGGCATACCAGCTAACCTTAACCCTTCCCCTTTCCCCCCAGGTAACCCTAACTGTAAGCTTCCTCCAGCTAAGCAGCATTCCTCCTCTGCTTCAGCATGACCTCCACAGCCCCTGACCTCTCCTCCCCCCATCGTACCACGGCCCTAGATGCCTGCAGAACAGATCCCATGGATGGAGACCAGGATCCTGGGCTGTTGGCCTGGTGGTGCTGGGGCTGTGTGACGGGGAGAATCTCATGGACCTCCATGCCCTGGTAGAGATCCAGGGGCTGCTGGAAGCCCGGGGGGTCACTGTACTGGCGACGGTAAGGGTGGAAACGCCGGGGCTCCCCTGGCACCGGCTCCTGGATGCCCGTGGCCCCATCACTGCTGTGCCGGCGGAATCTCTCCATAGCCACCACGTTTGGCCTGAAGATGGCATTGTCTGTCTGGCTCAAAGCCGAAGGCCTATCCTCAAGGCCGTGCTTCTCGTGCTATCGAAAGACATCATTAAATTGGAGGCCATCAGGCAGGCAGACAAGCTCAAGTTATTAACCAATGTCAAGATCAACTGGACTATTTAGTTTATTATGGGATCAACAGGGCAAAGTACTAAGAGAATCACCACTGCATCACCACTGCATCATCACTGTACTGCTAACAAGACTCCATAGGAGAGATCAAAGGTGAAGAGTTTATCGCTTGATAGATCCATATTTATAGCTGAGATTATTCTGATAAATGTTGCTTAAGTATGTGCAGTCACACAGCTGATGCCCACCAGGCATAATTAATTAGCCTAAAATCATGTGATTAATGGCTCCATGAAGAAGATGCCCTTTGGGCATAGTTTTTCTTACAGGTCACGTGTCCCAGAGGTATTCAGGTATTTGAGTCTGAAGGCAACAAGGCAGCCCCCCTCGTGGGACCCAAACCAACACCCTTCAGGGTCCATGTGCAGATTTGCAGCACTGCTCCAGCCAAGCATCATATACCACAGCAAGAGCTCCACAGAACTAAAACCAGTACCAGTACCATTACCAGAACCAGAACGACTGCTTACCGCCTCAGTCTGCACACAGGGAGATGTTTGCAGAAGACCAGGCTGGGGTGAGTGGGGGCTCTTTTCTGCCCTGGGGGAAAAGGTGGTTTCAGGGGGGTCATTGGACATACTGGCCACCGCAGAGCTGCTCTGGTGAAGGTGTGGAGCCAGGTTGGGGTCCGAGGGGAGCCTGCAGCGAGAGTTCAAGCTCGGGTCACATGCCAAACCTTCCAACAGGACCAACCCTAAGCTTGGCCTACTAGCTGCTCTGGATCATGGATGTATCATGTTACACTGAATCCATTAGCCGCTCCACCTCCTCCATCTGAGAGTAGAGGTGTGGGGGGTGGGGTGGGGCTTCCAGGAAAGGCCTGCCATGCCAGTGTTTTATCCAAATGCATCCGACTGCTCCGTCAGCCACGAAGCTCATTAAAACTGGCAACAGACCGTGACAATGAGGTCACCTGCAACCAAAGCCAGGACAGGAATGAAAAGGAAAGCCGCCGAGGTGATGCAGATGGCTGCTATCTGTCTGCCATATCTCACCGTGATCTCAGCACCTACTTTGGCCACTGGAAAAACGAGCTGAGAGGGAAGGACAGGAGGCCTCCAGTCACTGCCAGCACTGTGAGGAATTCTGCCCCAAGACTGATCCTTGTTACTCTTGATGTGCCTGTTAATTGATTTTTTAAATATTTGTTTTTCCCTTTGGTTGCCATGGTGCTACAGCTTTCACCAGGAGATTTAGTCCTGACATAATCTCACACCGATGGCAAATCAGTGCCCTGTTCACTCACAAAGGGTAGCATTGTCTATTGACTGACAGTCACACAGCAGTACAGCAGTGCCCTCCACCCAGACACCCCACAAACATGGGTGACACGCAGGAAGAGGTCACCACCGGAGGGCGCCACCGTTTCCATGAGCTGCAAAAGCCCAACAGTCGTCTTTTGGTTAAAAAAGTAGAATTGAAACTAGCTCAGTAATAATGAGATAAGCGATTGTTTCAGGGCGTTCGGGTTTCAGCCGAGTCTCGCGTTTCCTCGTCCGTGATGATTCTGCGAGGCTTGAATATTCGGTTTGTTTCCCCGACGTGTCCAGACATTTCCCCCCCGCTCATCCCTCCCCAGCACAACACTTGACTGGCATCTCAAATGGGCTGTACGCACCCTTTATTTCACTTTTCATCAAAGGCAGAGTTCAACAAACTGGTGTTTTCCTTTTTCTTCTTATTCTTCCCTCCATTGGTTTGGGGTGTGAGTATCATCTCCGCTAGCAAAATAAATACTTACTGAAGTGTCATGGCAGGCTTGCCGCTGTCTGGGTTGACTAGAATTTCCCCGGCTAATTGAAAATGCTTCATCTAGAGCGCAGATCGAGGTTTCGTGTTCCTCCTTGGTGCTCCCAGCCCTCCGCGTGTTGCGTGGGGCCACCTCGGAGCATGTGGCATGGCCACCTCGGCGTGTGTGGCGTGGGGCCCCCTTGGAGCGTGTGGCGTGGGGCCCCCTTGGAGAGTGTGGCGTGGGGTCCTCTTGGAGCATGTGGCGTGGGGCCCCCTTGGAGCGTGTGGCGTGGGGCCCCCTTGGAAAGTGTGGTGTGGGGTCCCCTTGGAGCATGTGGCGTGGGGCCCCCTTGGACGTGTGGCGTGGGGCTCCCTTGGAGTGTGTGGCGTGGGGCTCCCTTGGAGTGTGTGGCGTGGGGCCCCCTTGGAGTGTGTGGCGTGGGGCTCCCTTGGAGTGTGTGACGTGGGGCTCCCTCGGAGTGTGTGGCGTGGGGCCCCCTCGGAGTGTGTGACGTGGGGCTTCCTTGGAGTGTGTGACGTGGGGCCCCCTCGGAGTGTGTGGCGTGGGTCCCCCTTGGAGTGTGTGGCGTGGGGCCCCCTTGGAGTGTGTGACGTGGGGCTCCCTTGGAGTTTGTGATGTGGGGCCCCCTCGGAGTGTGTGGCGTGGGGCCCCCTTGAAGTGTGTGACGTGGGGCTCCCTTGGAGTGTGTGACGTGGGGCTCCCTTGGAGTGTGTGACGTGGGGCCCCCTTTGAGTGTGTGGCGTGGGGCCCCCTCGGAGTGTGTGACGTGGGGCTCCCTTGGAGTGTGTGACGTGGGGCCCCCTTGGAGTGTGTGGCGTGGGGCCCCCTCGGAGTGTGTGGCTATGTGGCAGGATCCCACTCCGTATCTGACTTCCTGGTGATGAGGCCTTTGACCTCTCTGGCCCAGACTGTCCCAGTTCAGGTCCAATCATGATGTTAAAGCTTATTACTAGGAAACATATAGTAGTCAGCTGGATTTCCACCACTGGGAGTCTGCTATCCCCACAGGGGGGGCACTCGCGAGCTCTCCCACGACCCCTGGTAGCTGACGCAAATGATTATTTGGTCCCACCCACCCACTTGCCTGCAGTGATATGCTGAAAGCCTACTCTGGAGTGATCCCTGGATTTACGACTTTCTTCAGGTTTCTTCTGGGGAGTGCAGCCCAGATTGGATCCACTGGTGACAATTAGTTCCTGTCCCCCTTCATTTGAAGAAGGGGCCAAGATGCCTCCTGGGGCTACACACCCCCCACAGCCGAGCCCAGACATGCTCAGTGCTGCACCTGCCTCACAAGCAGCCATGCGACACAAACAGGTGCTGGGAAATATCATTTCCTACTCTTTCTCCTCCCTGCTCCCCCTCCATTCCCTCTCCTCTCCCTCTCCTCTCCCTCTCTTTTCCGCTTCCTTCTTCTTCCCTGTCTGCTCCCTTTATGCTCCATCTCCACCCCCTCATTCTGCTCCCTCTCTCAGCTCCCTCACTTCTCCCTCTCCACTCTCTCTAGGCTCCCTTTCTCTGCTCCCTCTCTGCCCCCCTTCTCTCTCTCTCCACTCTCTCTGCTCCCTCTCTGCTCCCCCTTCTCCCTCTCTCCATTCTCTCTGCTCCCCATTCTCCCTCTCTCCATTCTCTCTGCTCCCTCTCTGCTCCCCCTTATCCCTCTCTCCATTCCTGTCTGCTCCCTCTCTGCCCCCCTTCTCCCTCTCTCCATTCTCTCTGCTCCCTCTCTGCTCCCCCTTCTCCCTCTCTCCATTCCTGTCTGCTCCCTCTCTGCCCCCCTTCTCCCTCTCTCCATTCTCTCTGCTCCCTCTCTGCCCCCCTTCTCCCTCTCTCCATTCTCTCTGCTCCCTCTCTGCCCCCCTTCTCCCTCTCTCCATTCCCTCTCTGCTCTCTCTCCAATTTTCTCTCTGCCTGTGTAATTACAAACACCAAAAAGCTGCAGAAGTACAAATCATGTAAAATATGTTAAATTATATGCAATTTAAATTCCAAAAGCATCTGCATCAGTCAAGAAACTGAGGGACAGACAGCACTGATGACATCACCTTTGCGTGTCCCCACAATGTGATAAAAACCTGTTATTTTGATGTTGTGGGGATACACAAACCTATAAATGCCAAAAGTCTCGTATTTTGTTTGGTTACTTATGGTTAGGGTTAGGGCTAGATAGAGGTTAAGGTTGTCATTTTGTGATTAGTTTTTCCCCATATAAATGAATAGAGAGTCTCCACAAAGATATACGGTAATTGCAAACCTCTGTGTGTGTGTGTGTGTGTGTGTGTGTGCGTGCCTACACGTGTGTGTGTGTGTGTGTGTGTGTGTGTGTGCCTACACGTGTGTGTCAGCCTTATTAAGCTAATTCCTCATAAAATGCTGTGTTGAGTAATAATCTTCTGGAACAATCTCAATGAAAGTTCAGGTTTCCACGAAAAAGAAAAATAGTACAAGTATGAACACACATCACGGCAACCTGTGACACGCAAGGCAAGACATGCAAATCGACAACGGCTGTCGTTTTCATCATGGGAAAGGAAAGGAAAGGAAAGGAAGAGAATGATACAGGCCCTTTTAGTTTGGGGGGTGGGGTGGTCAGAGCAAGTTACACACCAATGGGAGGCCAACCAGGAGGGTACACACATACACACATACACACACATGCAGCTATGCATACACACATACACACACACACACATGCACACACATGCAGCTATGCATAAACACACACACACACACAGAGCGGCACCTCAGACACATTAAAGCACCAAATCCAGCCCGATCACCAGCCAGGCAGCGCAGTGTAAACATGGCAGGCAGTCCTGCAGGAGCCATGATCCAAGGCCCTGTCACCTATCTGAACCACTTATTGCCTTGACTTTTCCAGACTGACATGCCCTAAGGATTCAGAAGCGTGCAGCTTTGACACCCCAGGCTGTAACAATGAAAGATAACAAGCTGTAATCTGCCCGTATCGATGGCCCAGCCAGACCACCACAGACAGCGCATTCATCTCCGCAGCGAGCCAGGGCTGACCACGGCCACTCAGGCTTGCCCACTCGTGAATGTTAGCCTTGCTAAGAAGCGCGTGTCCTGTGTGCGACCCGCAGCCCGCTCACATTTTTGCTCCCTCCCAGCTCCAGCTCCTAAGGCACCTTTTCGGTGTTTTTCATTGGCTGGGAGCCGGGTGCGGATGCAATGTGGTCTGTCTGCGGGTCCATCAGGACTGGGTGAAAAACACTGCATTACGGCACTGCTGGCAGGTCCTGTCGCGTCAGCTCACCCTCCCCCCCCCCCCCCACCCCCCCCCCTCACTTTAGCAGCAAAAAATTAGACAGAGCCCCCGGGACACATTCGGGAAATGACTCCCTGCCTGCCTGTCAGGTGCTCTGGCTGACGGACCCTCTGATATGATCACTGTCTGTGCAGTACCTGCCCCTCCGCCCCCCGCCTACACGCTCACTGAGGCGAATTTCACCGCGGAAATGCAGCCCGGGCGGAGGTGCAGGTGGGCCCGGCGGACAGGTGATGAGGAGAGCCTGAGTGCTGAGGCTACTGCTGATAGGCTCCCTAACATCCCTCCATCCTGCCAGCGGACGTGCGTGAGGCCCAGAAGAGTCTCTCCTCATCCAGCTCTGTCACCACACACCTGACCCATTCAGAGCCGAAAGGAACTCAGGTGCAAGAGAGAGGTGTCCCGGGGTTCAGGAACAAGCCAGGCAATCAGCGCAGGAGCAAGAGAGAGGGAGAGAGAGAGAAGGAGAGAGGGGGGAAGAGAGAAGGGGAACAGCGGGATGCTGACGACGGGCTCATCGGCACATTGTTTTTAAAAAAGTCACACATACCCAGACGCGACTTGGAGACGTATCCAATACAGCGGTTCCGTGCTGAGGGCTTGTCGTCAGGAGGAATCCATGCGCACACGCCCCCAAAAGACCGAGAAGATGCCCGCGGGCGGGGGCCCTATCCCTCACGCTACCATCAACAGTCTTCAGTCTGCGGGGTGAGAGGAGAATTAGGCAGCTGGATACAATCCATGATCTTTTATACAGTACAACTGAAAGATAGTACAGAGAGAGAGAGGGGGGGGGGGGGGGAGAGGGGGGGAAAAAGGGAGGGGGAGGGGGGGGGGGGAGAGAGAGAGGGGGAGAAAGAGAGAGAGAGAGGGGGAAGAGAGAGCGCAACAGGTAAGAGAAAACTCTACCCTTCTGGTGACCCAAAGGAGCAGTACCTGTCCGGGGTACAGACCATTCATGCCATGATCCATAACACACGGAGAGCAAAGGAGTAATGAATGACCCTCAAACTGCACAGGGTGTGATTGCACGATGTCACAGCTGTGCACACGTTTTCACGTAGGCGCTTCTGATGGGCGGAATGGGATTATTTTCCTATGACACTGAGCCCTGCGGCCACACTTGACAGGTGACGTGCCCCCGCTCACCCTGCAGGATTTTAGCAGGCTGCCTGCGCAGAGCTCCCTACACAGACCAAAAAGCATGAAGTCGGTCTCAGCTTTTGACGATACGGCGTAAGGGACACAGACGAAACACGACCGCGTGTTACGGCTGCTGCAAACGTGGCTGCGTGGTAACATGCTGCGCTGTGATGTACCTGTGGGGTTTTGTTCCTTTAGTAGGTATGTTGCCAGTTAATTTTCTTTGATGTGTTTTTCCGTGTTGATATTTTTTTCCTGGGGATCGCGGATAGCCTAAGGCCCCGTGGCATGGATTCAAAAATGGTGCTGGAACATAACTGAGCACACCTGTCCTGTCTACAGTAAACAGCTGCCAATCAGTGCCCAGGTGTCACGTCACAGCAGCTTACTAAACGCAATCAAACAGCCGGGGTGAGTGGGTGACCAAATACCAGGCGTGACGGGGCAGGCAACCCCCGAAATCATGTGCACGGAAGTTCACTGGAGGACCTAGGGACAGCAGGAATTACACTGGAGCAACGCTGAGCTATGCAGGGACAGTAGGAGCCAACGGCTGGTGCTCTTCTAATCCCTAAGGTGTCTCTGCTGCTAAACCCTGAGACTGAACAGCATTGGCAGAGCAGCAGCGAATGGTCAAAGAGTACATTGTCTTCAGAGGTATTAGCCAAATTAACCAAGTAAAATAACCGATCAGGTGAATATACAAGGTAAAATACCTGCCTGGATTAGTGATTATCGACAAATGAGGACGAATCTAGCTGTATACAGAGACAGAAGTTTCCTGGAGAGAGACACCATATTTAGCAAGCGAGGAACGCCCACCTCTGATTGGAACAGGCCCTGATTTATGGCTCCGTGTTTAAATCCAGGCTGCAAAAGTCTTGCTGGAGCTGGATTTACAGCTCAAGGTGTCAGGTGTGGTTTCATCACATTTCTCCAGCAGATGCTTTTTCCATCAAAAATATGTAAGAAAATAATGAATTATACTTCAGGGACGGATTTGGGCATGTTTTCTGAAAAACTTCATTACCATGTGTACAGAATCTTATCCATTCATAACAGCCCAGTGAAAACACACAGGTATAGTTTGCATTAATGCCAACAGTAGTTTAACAAAAGCATTGTGTAAGCAATTATGGTTGACATGCGCCTTTGTTCTGATCCCTTTAAGAATGTGATGCAATGAAAACAAGCTGTTAAGACAAGAAAAAATACCACAATAATTAATACTTTATGCTGCCTGCCAATCATATGGGTAACTATATTTATGCAAATATGCATGAGCCATGAGTTTTGTGGCAAGCAAATGCAGTCCCACATTAAACAGCAGAATGCTGTCCTACATAGAGATGCTTACAAACACAGAGCAGTGGTGACATGCTTACCCGCAAATCTGACGGGGATCGTCCTTCGACGCAGAGATCCTCAGAGACGCGCGCGAATGCAGTGTGCTGACAGCAAGGCACCGTGGAACAGAAGCAGCGGATCGTCACCGAGGTGCTTCCAGAGGCCACCCAGAGGGACGTGGCAAGCTCCAGAGATGCTGGGAGGCGCTTGTAAGCCAATCATCTTCCAACCCCCCCCCCCCCGGAACACCACCTGCTGCTTTTAGAGGGGAATCAGCCCCACCTGGACTGACTTTCCACCACATGTCATTGCCCGGAATGACACACTCTTCCCAAACTGTTTCACACTGTTTCTAACCACTTGGATCATCTCAAACCAGTTGTGGGATTCTCTGCTTGGAATTCCTGTCCAGAAAGGATCAGAATATTCCAGACACACCACTCACACACACACACACTCACTCCACATCCCAGATTCTACACCCTCGAACCCACAACCGATCGTGTTGCTTTGTGCTCGCAAATACATTTTCACTCACACAAGTCTGCTCTGCAGGATTTATTCCTTTGAGAAAGGCAGATAAATATTACATTCAGAAAATAAGGAAAATAAATATTTTTACTGATTCGAGCCAAAAGATTCTGAGGTATGTCCAACTGATATCGTTTTCTTTGGAAAAAACACACATATAAAAGTATAAAATCCATTTATGAACGTGTTAATTTTCCATCTGTAGGGGACTTTTGAGTGTTTAGGCAATAATTGTTTTTAAAGTGATTACATTTGGAAGACAACACTGTCCTTATTCTGCTTATTTTAGTTAACAAATGTTAATTTACACAAACTGTAACCGGGGAGCTGTTTGCCATCACCTCCCCCCCCCCCCCAAACTGGACGCATGTGTGATGGGGGGCCAAGCCTGAGGCTGAACACGGGTGCTGCAGGGAGGGCTGACTCTGGGGTCTCTGTTATGGTCCTGGGGAGGCAGAGGACATGGTTTTGCAGAGTACATGAGGCAGTTTATTCACAGAGGCTGAGTGCGGAATATTCTTTTTGCTCTCTGGGTGCCTCCCCCCTCCAGGAGGCTCAGGCGGGGCCCGTGGTGTTGGCCCAGGATGGGTAGGTGTCCAGGTGAAACATTGCTGTGCCCCAGGTGTTCAGGGCGAAGTTGATGGCCAGGACGCCGATGAGGTTCAGAGCGAAGCCAGCCTTCGCCTGTGGGACAGAAGCCAGGAGTCAGGAAGCCTCACAGATGGCCACGGAGAAACATCCGCGGGCTTCCCGTCGGACACACTCACCATGTCTATGACTTTGAGCTGGCCGTAGGAGAAGGCAATGGCGTTGGGGGGGGTGGCCACCGGCAGCATGAATGCCAGGGAGGCACAGAGGGTGCAGGGCAGCATGATGTAGAGCGGGTTCAGATGGATGGCGGTGGCCTGGGGGGAAATGCCCCAAAAAGTAGGTGCTGTAAGCTACTGCTGCCCCAATTGGGTTTCCTCACAAGATCTCTCTTTTCATGCAGGGGATGGGGCTCACCATGGAGGCCAGGATGGGCAGGAAGAGTGTAGTGGTGGCTGTGTTGCTGGAGCACTCGGTGAAGGTGGTCACCAACAGGCAGAGCAGAAGCGAGATGGCGAACGGGGGGATGCTCTTCAGGGGCGTCAGGCTCTCCCCCAACCACAGGGACAAGCCCGAGACCTGCTCACAGAGCCGTCGCATTAAAATGGCGACACATTACAAAGGCGACACGGGTCGATCCTCTTACTACAGTACAGGAAATGTAAAACACAGTTCAAATGTATGGAAACATCTGATAGACAACCTCACTGCCTCTGGCCAGGGCAAAGCCCCCTCCCAGCAGCAGGATGATGTTCCAGGGCATCTTCTCCTGGACCACCTCCCATCTGAGCAGGGCTGGTGGAGCCTTGATGTTCTCCTCTGAAAGTTGGAAAAGAAAATGTGAGGAACAAGATTGTGGACCTCACGGTTTTTCCACTTAGATGGGCACTTCAGACCCCTCTCTACACACCCAAATGTATCTCCCAGCCAAACAGACCACCTCCCTCCATTCCAATAGATATGGTATCTCAGAAACATTCCCCGACTCGCCGCCAGGGCCTGCTGCACTTAATCATGATGACATTGTCTATATTTACAAAACACAAGGGCGTTTTCACAGGGACGCTTACACATGACCTTGGAGAGTCAGCCCCTGAGGCATCGCATCAACATTCAAGCCTCAAGCAACATGTTTACAGTCAGGAGACACTTTCGAGCAAAAGCTGGTCACTCAAGCCAATCACCACTGTGAAGACCGACATGAAAAGGGGTTTTCAAAAAGCTGGAATCTAGTCCAGCTAAGGGATTAGTTTGGGAAGGGTGGGGGGTGTGTGTCAAGGAGTTCTCACCACATGCACCTTCATCCCCTCCTCCACGATAAGCCAGTGACGGCATCCGGGATGGGATAATGAAGAACAGCATAGACATGAAGATGGCTACTGTGCCATCAGTGACGTATCTGGAACACAAGACGTACCATCGTTAGAACAGCAGCTAGCTGGGCTCCTCAGACCTAACCCTAACACTCAGTAGAACAGGTCCTAAATGGACCTTTCATGACTTATGTTCATCAAGAAAGGCTGACAGCTGTGCTGTAAAGCATACATGGCCTTTGAAGGTCTACACGGTTTCTGCTGATGGGTTTAGCTACACTAACATCCATTCTGAGGAAGAACATGATGCCAATGCCTCACTCACTGTTTGTCCATATTGAATAACACTGTAGCCCAGCCAGGCATGAACCCAGGCTCCCTGGTGAACCACAGCAGCACCAGAATGACGAAGATGACAAGCACGCTGCCCTCCGCGAAGGAAATGCTGCCCAGCTTCTTGTACTCATTCTTCATCACCTGGTAGGCTTCTTCATCACCTTCGTTCCTCTTCCCACAGCCAAACGACTCCTTGAGGCTATGGGGCAAGTCATATGTCAGGGATTGGTGGCAGCTTTCAGAATTGTAGCTGCGGGTTTCACTAGCCTGTCAGCTCTGCATTTGCCTGCATTGCACTGGGTATCACACCACACTCATCCTCCCCAAAGGACGCTATTCATGCATAGGGGCGCTACTATGATCCTACGTCAATTGCTGCCTTGTTTAACTCAAAGGGAACCCATTAGAAACTTACAGGGAAACCAGTGGGGACTGAGTTCACCAATTTTGATTGACAGAGCACAATAATCCCACCCACGGTTAGCCTCAAAACCTCTGTGAATCCCATCATGCATCAGGGTCTGAACTCTGGAGGACCATTAGCATTTATGCTGAAGCCCAAAATATGGGTGTGTGTCTTACTTGAAACCTATGAACATGAACTGGAGCCAAAACCAGGAGAGTATCAACATCAGGAGCATGTTGGGGAAGGAGAATCCAAACCAGGTGGCAAAGTTGATCACATCGTTGTTGTCTGGAAACAGCCTACCAGGGGAAGAGTAAAGGTGTTTTCTCCAAAAAGTTCTGGGAGAATGAGATTTTTATTTCACAATGAGGTTTTGGGTTGGGGTTAGGCGGCGCTGGGCTTACTCAGAATGAGGTTTGGGGTTGGGGTTAGGCGGCGCTGGGCTTACTCAGAATGAGGTTTGGGGTTGCGGTTAGGCGGCGCTGGGCTTACTCAGAATGAGGTTTGAGGTTGGGGTTAGGCGGCGCTGGGCTTACTCAGAATGAGGTTTGGGGTTGGGGTTAGGCGGTGCTGGGTTTACTCAGAATGAGGTTTGGGGTTGCGGTTAGGCGGCGCTGGGCTTACTCAGAATGAGGTTTGAGGTTGGGGTTAGGCGGCGCTGGGCTTACTCAGAATGAGGTTTGTGGTTGGGGTTAGGCGGTACTGGGCTTACTCAGAATGAGGTTTGGGGCTGGAGTTAGGCGGCGCTGGGCTTACTCAAAATGAGGTTTGGGGCTGGGGTTAGGCGGTACTGGGCTTACTCAGAATGAGGTTTGAGGTTGGGGTTAGGCGGTACTGGGCTTACTCAGAATGAGGTTTGAGGTTGGGGTTAGGCGGTACTGGGCTTACTCAGAATGAGGTTGGGGTTAGGCGGTACTGGGCTTACTCAGAATGAGGTTTGGGGTTGGGGTTAGGCGGTACTGGGCTTACTCAGAATGAGGTTTGGGGCTGGAGTTAGGCGGCGCTGGGCTTACTCAAAATGAGGTTTGGGGCTGGGGTTAGGCGGTACTGGGCTTACTCAGAATGAGGTTTGGGGCTGGGGTTAGGCGGCGCTGGGCTTACTCAGAATGAGGTTTGGGGCTGGGGTTAGGCGGCGCTGAGCTTACTCATCCACCTGCCCCTTCAGAATGAGATTTGGGGTGGTGCCGGTCAGGGTGGCGGTGCCCCCGATGCTGGCTGAGTAGCAGACACACAGGCTCATGCCCTTCGAC